TGTCCCTAAACAGTTCAAAATAAATCAAAATATTTTGAAAATGTTATCGCGTATAGAAAATGCAAATATAAACAACCAGTCAAAATTGCATGTTCCTACGGTCATTTGTTTTAAAGTTACGCCAAAAACCAAAATCGATTTTCTCGAAAACAGATTTTGCGTAAAAATTCCTGTTTTTCTTTAATTTTTCTTTTGTTTTTCTTGGCGCTTTTGAAAAGTACTGGGAATTTTAAATTTCGACCTCCCCAATGAACCAACGATATTCACTTTCCAATCAAACAAGATACTGAAGTCGAAAATCGAAGCATTATTTCGACTACTTATCGTGTACACAGACACAAAAAAAAAAAAAAATAAAAAAAAAAACACACATCATTGTAAAATCAATACATTCATCGTTTCACTCAGAATCTAAAAAAGTATGTTGCTGCGCGAGGGTCGACAATATCGACACATATTCGGCTAGTCGTATTTTTGGAGCGGCGATACGGGAAAGGTTATTTAAGTCAACATTACATTTCATTACATTACATTAGAGGCAATTCATTAATTAATTGAAAAATTAAACATAATAGATAAAATAATTGCAAAATTATAATAAAATCAATTGATTAAAAAATTAAAAATTAAAAAATTTTAAATTAAAAATGTTCAAGTTTCTGATTTTTTCCTTTGTATTTACCTAACTACCTATCTGTATGCCAAATTTGAACTTTCTTGGTCATCTGGAACTGGGTTAGAATTTTGATCTATAGGTCAGTCAGTGATAAAATTGACGATTTTCGGACGTTAATATCTAAATAACGGTTTGAAGTGTGTTTATGAAATTTAGAGCACATATGTATCTCGTTAGTCTCAATATATGAGCCAAATTTTACATGTTTATGTGGAATAGTTTTTGAGTTATGAGGGGGTCAAAAGTGGCTCCATATGGTTCGTGTATAATATTACACACGGTGCTGCTCGCCAGTTCTGTTAGCTAGAACTTGGCTTGACACGCTACCGCGTGTCTAGATATTATATTCCAATTTCCTACTCTTACCAAAGTGTTATAATTTTCCATTAGGTATAATACGCGACTTTTAATACCTAAGTAACACCTCACTATTAAAATAATGTTAAAAAAAAAAGATATAATAAAGAATATAATGATGTTTTAGATTCTGAGCGGAGCGATGAATGTATTGGTTTTACAATGATGTATGTTTTTATATTTTTATTTATATTTTTATATTTTTATTTATATTTTTGTGTCTGTCATCACGTTTAAGGACAGTAAAAGTGCTTGGATTTTCTTCATCAGTAGCTTTTCTGATAGGAAAGTGAATCTAGTTGGTACTTTGGGGGGTCAAAAGTATAAATTTCCCAGTAGTTTTCACAAGCGCCGGGAAAAACAACATAAAAATTAAGGAAAAACGGGAATTTTTACGCAAAATTGGTTTTCCAAAAAATCGATTTTGGTTATTGGTGTAACTCTAAATCAAATGAACGTATATACATGAAATTTTCACTGGTTGTTTATATTTGCATTTTCTATACACGATAACATTTTCAAAATATTTTGATTTATTTTGAACTGTTTAGGGACATTTTCATTTTCCATTTTTTTTTAGTTTTTTTTCTAAAAATATCAATAAAATTTTATTTATTGGTTGCGAAAGCTTGAAAATTTAATAGAAGGCTCCTAATATGTTGTTTCAAAGGCAGATGAAAAATATTAAAAATCCTTAGTCACAATTTTTTTTTATAAGCATTTAAAGTTCAAAAATTGACAAAATATGGAAAAATCACGAAAATTAGCAAATTATTTTGAGTTAAGAATTCGTAAAAATTTTTTTTTTTAAATCTAAGATTTGAAAATGAAACACAAGATTCCTTATAAGATTATCTACCTTTATCAATAAAAAAATCTCTACCGGACAGTCTAATTAAATTTTTATGAGCGGTTGAAATTCAAATTTTTACAACATTGGATTTTCACTCGATTTCTCATGTAGCGATTTCCTTATTTTGTTGTCATTCAAAAACGAATAACTGTAGATACATGAAAATTTCACTGAATGTTTATATTAGCATTTTCTATACACCATACAATTTTGAAAATATTTTGACTCTTTTTGAGCTGTTTATGGACATTTACAGCTTTCAATTTTTTTTAGTTTTTTTTTCTATAAATATCAATAAAGTTTTATCTGTTGGGCCAAAAAGTGTAAAAATTTAATACAAGGCTCCTGATATATTGTTACAATAGCAGTTGAAAAATATTAAAAATACATAGGCACAGTTTTTTTTTATAAGCATTTAAAGATCAAATTTTGACAAAATTTATCAAAATCTTGAAAATTATCAATCATTGTAATTAATAAATTATAAAATGTTCAGTTTTTATAGCTAAGGATTGCAAATTCAACACAAAGGTTCTCGTAAATAGTTCATACTGTAACCAAAAAATCTAAAAAATATATGAACACACTTATTTTTTACAGACATTTTAAATTCAAATTTGGACGAAATTACATATTAAAAAACCTAGAATAACTATTTTATTTTTTTTTTTTGTGATTGAATAATATTATTCGTGGGTACTTGAAACTTCTAAAGTGTACTATTATATATCTATGATAGTATCACGGTTTTTGTTGATGTATAACGTGTTATAAGTATCTAATGGATATTGTGATATGATTAATTTGGAATTTATTATAGGTACCTATTATAGGTCAATTTTTTGTTTAATACCATAGATATGTATATAATATGTCTTATACATAGACTGACATACTGTCACCGCTCAGAATCGTTTTTCTTATACAATGATATTATATCATTGAATTCAAATTTAATACCATCCATTATACAGTGACCCACTTGTAACCTACTGTACAGCAGAGCGACATCCACTTGCCGACCTTTTTTTTGATTATTTTTGCATATTTTTTAAATTTTTGAGAGAATTTAATGAGAATATTTGAAGGTTTTTTAGAGAATATTAACATCATATTTTTGGGTATTTTAAGAGAATATAAATCCGGTCTTTAGTTATGAGTGTTCTCAGGGCTTAAAGTGGGGAAAATTCCATACGGGACTAATGTCTCCATATTATTTTTTTAACTTTTAAGCGTTCCATTTATAATTTTATGTATAATGCTAATGCCTAATGTATAAAATTTTAATTTGTTAAATGGGACGCTTTTTAACCGTCGTCAGAGGTATGGTTGACTGAGTTCTCCTGCATCCCCTCCCCGCCTGCCACTTTAACCCCTGAGTGATCTGTGTTGTGACTTATAAATAATATCCTGATTTGGGTAGTATTTTTTACAAATTATGAATTACAAATTCAAAATTTACAAATTTTTAACAGCAAACTAGATTTACTAACATAAACAAATGTGTTGTTTAATTAAAATTATAATTATATCCCAATCAGATTATAAAAACATGAAACTTAAAATTAAATATGTTATTATAGCCTATAGGAATATTGCAATAAAGATAAATTAATATATAATACATTTTTACAAAAGGTTGAAATTTGATTTACTTAATAAGTACCTAATAGTTATTTATTAATTATAATTTATAGTTAATCTTACATCAAGATAAAAGTTATAAAATTATTGTTTATTACCTACCTAATAATTATCATATTAAATTATACTATTTAAATTTAAAGTATTAGTATCAGTATCTTGAAAATTATTTAAAATGATTTTATGTACAAATAATTTATCAAAGTGTATAAATTATTAGTAGGTACCAAATAATAATATATTATTGTGGAGTAATGCTATTTAGTAATTACCTACTTCAAATTTATAAAAATCATGAAAATATTTTTTTGTCTATAATATAGTCACAGTACCTTTGGAGCTCTAAACAATGAAATATTTTGTCCTTCACTTCCACTAGCGTATCCTGTCTTAAACTTTTAAAATAATATTTTAAAACTTAATATAATATTTATTGTTCGGTAACTCAACAGTCAACAGTAGACATTTAAATGGACAGTCATAGTTCTTACAATAATTCTAATAAATTTGGGACAATATTGGGAAGGGATTTATATTTTAAATACTATTTGTTATGACTGGAAGTCTACCTCTATATGTTTATTTTATTGAATTCATGACTACCTATATTAATTATTATACTATACATTTTTATTTATATCAACTTGCTAATATGATATAAGCATATCGTCGGCTAAGACGTAATACCCCGTACGTCAAAAACATTCATTTTTCAGGAGACACATTTTTGTGTTTATAAAATCAATGTTTGTAGTTAGTTTAGCCTATGTTTGAAATAATTTGTTTAGACAATGTTTTCCATTAGTCTATAATAAAGTTTTAATCATAATTCGTTTTTAAAATGTTTTTTTTAGACTTACGAGATATTGCATTAAGTATATTGAAAATGGATATTGACATACGAGCTATTATTACTTTATTGTTTTCTAGCTGACTGATGTAATTACATTGTTAAATAAAAATTGTTGGATCAGGGGTTTTTATTTATTGAATCTTTTAATACTTCAGCCTTTTGAATTTATTATTAAACCATAATTAATAATTATAGGTAACAATCAAGGTATTAAAAAGTAAACGTTATTTTAAAACAGAACTAAATTTGTATTTGTAGTTACATTCAGACTTTGAATTATAATTATAATATAACACCATACATTATTTTAAAACAGAACTAAAAATGTATAGTAACAATCAAAATATTAAAAAGTAAACATTATTTTAAAACAGAACTAAAATTTTATAGTTACAATTAAAATACTAAAAAGTAAACATTATTTTAAAACAGAACTTATTTAGTATAGTAACATTCAGACCTTGAATTATAATAAATTACTATCAATAAAAATACAAAAAAATAAAAATAAATAAGTAGAAAAAAAAGCTTTAAAGCCTTGGTTTTATATTTCATAACATTAAAAAATAGACATTATATTATTAATTACAATAGTGTAGTTAAGTTAGTTTTAATATTTAATCATATTTAATATGATTATAAAACTCATGACAATCATTAGGTATTACTTTTTTCAGTTGCTGTAAATGTTCCCACTTACTTTTGGGAATTTTCAATTCTTCTGCATGAAGCTGACCATAAATAATAGGAGATGTTATTTTACACATTTTTTTTCTTTTCTTTTGAGCCAATCTGAGATCAGAGTACTCATCATCAAAATTAGTTTTGTTTAGTTTTTGAAACTTACGTAGATTTTCATTATCCAATTCTTTTAACAGAAAATCAATCTCGTTTTCATCCATTCTTATAAATTATTTTGAACAGCTTAATAGTTACAAACAAGATAAAGTTAATAATGTTAATATGTAATAAACAAATTTAACTGAATTAAAATGAGGAATTCGCACTTCAAACTTCAAACATACTGTGTGATACCTATATTTCTATCAAAATATTATTGATAACATACTATCTATTAGATTTAATAAATAATCAGTATTACCATTGATTATGAATACTATATTTTATTATTACAAATATTTATTATTTCTATTTATAAATTGATGGTATTGTGGCACCAGAACCGTTTGTTTGCAGTTGCCGCTGTATCAGTGTGCCAGCCGACGTAATTTATTAATATTTTGTCCAAGGAGATACGATGTATTTCTGACAAAATACTGATAATTGATTTACGCGATATTGCGTCCAAGTTTATATTCTCTTTGGAAATTATGAGCTATACGTGATATTACCATTAAAATATTCCATATTTTTTTCTGTAAATTTTGATGCATATATCTCAAAATACCTTTTTTTTGACTTACGAGGTATTACGTCTTAGCCGACGATATTTCATATGAATTATGATTTATGAAATTTGAACAATATTATACATTGGTGTGGTCTATACTCTATTTTTAATGCACCGTAATAGCACAGAATAAGACAATGTAATAGCAAATAATTAATATAACCGGCCATCCAGTAATGTGGCGGTGCCTAGCGGTATTTATGTTAACTAAATTTGTGCCACTTTTTTCGCGGAGTGTTATCAGTTTATCACCTCCTCTTCACTACATCGTGGCCACGATTATAAAGTTCTTTACACGGACTAAGATATCAGGACTGGACACGACAAGGTTGGAGGGTGTGGGGGGGTTGACTACGAAATGTTTTACAACAGGCAGTGTTCGGGGGGATATTTTCCTTTTAGCATTACTAGCGCCGTCCTAGTGGATACTTATGGAACTAGAACACATCATACAAATTTCTAGTTCCATAAGTATCCACTAAGACGGCGCTAGTAATGCTAAAAGGAAAATATCCCCCCGAACTCCGCCTGTTGTAAAACATTTCGTAACCACAATATTCATCTCGTGTCCAGTCCTGTATATCTTAGTCTGTGGTTCTTTATAATCGTGATCGTGGCTATAGGTATAGAATGATAATAATTATTTTCTTGGGTTTATGATACCATTGATACCACAGAATAAATTATTCTGAAATCTGTGATGATACTATTGAATATTTGAATATTGATACTTGTTAGTTAATATTATAAGTATACAATAAGAGTTTATACTTTTTAGGTATGACAAAGGTTTTTTTTACCTAACTACCTCCAATTGTCTACCTTATTTAGTTTAAAAAGTGTGTTGAATCTACTTAAATTTGTACCATAATCGTAATCGGATAATAAACTACCTATAATGAACTCATTAGTAGCAGATTATGGAGACGAAACAGACACTGATTCGTTGGAAAGTGATCACAATCTAGATGAAAACGCTAAGGATATGAAGTAATTTTGTTCAATTACCTTAACTGAGTTAAAGTGATACAATCATTACTAAAAAAATGTATTATAATGTTTTTAATTGTCAAATGTACCTAATATACTTAATATTTTTGTAAGTTATTTTAAATTACTATTATTTTATTTTTATTTTAGGTCAGTTGATGAGTATAAAACTGAGAATAAGCTTCCTGCACCAAGATTTAAAGATACTGGTATTATCAATGAATCTGTCTTCAGAAATCCTTACTTGGAAGCTGAACGAGCTAAATGTGCAGTATTAGAAAAACATGTGAAAATGGTTCCTGCCAAGGACCACCTCACAAAAGTTAACGGAAAAAATATATGTTGGATGAACAAAAAAGGTCGTTGTCGTTTTGGAAATAAATGTAAATTTGCTCACGATTCAGAATTATTTAATGGTCCAAATATAATAGATGAAGACAAATCAAATATGGAGAGTTCAAAATTAAATAAAAAAATGAAAAGACCTGGACTATCACAAACTTTAATACCAGGAAAAAAAATACTTAAAATATTTAAAAAAACAGAAATGTCTAATGTGCATTCATAAAATATTAACTACATATTTTATACTGTTTTCTTAATCCTAATGTATATAATATAACTATAAAAGTACATAACAAGTATAATAAATGTTATCAACTTTTGTTAACATTTGTAATTATAATATTTTAAATATATGGAATTTATCTAGTCATTGTTTCCATATTTGATTCATTAAATCACTTTTTATCCAACATACAATATTTATGAACTTATAGAAATATTTTCATTTATTACTATTATTATTTTATTAAAGGGGGTCCACAACGTTAACAGCCAATGGACGGCACAATTTAATGTATACAAATGTACAAAGGTTGATTGTAGCTTACATTTGTTATTGGTCATGCTTCATGCACCTTCAACAAAATAACAGATTTTATTTTAAAATTAGTACTTTATATTTCCTTGAGAAGATATGTCCTCAATAAGAAATTGAGTTTATCGGTCGTTACAAGGGTCTGGATTACCCAATTTTCTTTTTTTTTTATACTTTTATTCACAAAGATAAGTCTAGCAAATATTAGTCATCATGTAAATTATAAATATCAACAAAACAACATGGGTTTTACAATAGTTTTCATATGGTTATCCAGATAAATATTAGAAGAAGAAAAAGTTATTACAATACATGTAATTTTGTCACATATTGTTTTCGGTACAGAAATTAACATAGTCTCTAACACAGTTATGTATAACATGTAGAATATGTGGCGATCTTGTTGTGTGCACTCTACCCCAGATTGCTATCTACCTGCGATTACGGAACACTTGTTATATGCCCTCTACTATGCAATTTATATTTTTATTATGGTGGTAATAAAGATTATGACTCTCTCTTCCTGCATCATATAATTTTTGATCGTATATTTAGTCGTTGATCCTATAGAAAACGGAGAAAGAAACTATGGAAGACGGCTTGATGGACCATGGGTATTTGGCTTGTGTGACAATATCGAAGGAAGGTATTTTATTGTCCAAAGAGGGCTAAAACGACTTCGCACTAAATTATACAAAGAGGTTATTGTTGGGTCTACAATATATTCCAATAGCTGGTCAGGGTATAATTGACTCTCGGTTTCAAATCGGTAATAATTGACTAACTATTATTATGAATATATTTAGGTTTTAATTATAAAAAAAAATTTCACATTCAGGACGTGATGCAATTTTTTATTTTACATGCTCTACAGTGAAATATACCAAAAATAAAAGTATTATTTTCGTTTAACTATGATTGACAATACCAAATTAATAGGTAATAAAATATTTATGTCTAAAAAAAGAAGTTCTAGTTACATGAAGTCGGAGCATGGTATATTTCAACCATGAGTCAAAAGTTAGAACATTTTTAAGTTATGTGTAAAAATAAAATAACCCAGTAATTTAGACAAATAAAATATGGTTAACTCCCTACTTAAATATTAAGTTTTCACAGATCAATTGTTAGAACAATAGTACAATTTATATTTACTAATTTTCTCAATTACACATTCAGTACAATTAAAAAACGAATACAAATCTAAATATCAAGTGCTAAATACACAGTACAAATTCTAATGAAAAGCCACTAAAAATTGAATTAAAATTAAAAATCATAGTTCTCCTCTAAAAAAAGAAGATGGCTCATTAGCTATTTCTGATGAGGAAAAAACAAACATATTCACCTTTCAAATATATTTTCACCACACTGGCACACTCTAATATATCTCCCAACAAAAAGAAGGTAAATGAAATTGAAAAATTTTGAGACAGCCCATTACCAATATCACTTCCTTTGAAACACAATCGCCTAAAAAAATAAAAAATTTTCACTTAAGCTGAAGCACCAAAAATCACCTGGTTATGACTTAATCACCAATAAAATGCTAAAATTTCTCCCAAAAAATTCCATAATACTCCTCACTTTCTTACATATACAACTCAATGCTAAAATTATCATATTTCCCGCTTAGCTGGAGGTTTTCTACAATAATTCTCATACATAAACCAAACATTCCTAAAAATAAGGCATCTTTATATCGACCTATCAGTTTACTATCGATGTTAGCCAAATTGTTTGAAAAAATATTGCTCCACAGAATCAGATCTTTCACTCAACCCCCAAAAATAATTCCTGACATTCAATTTGGCTTCAGATCCAAACATTCTACCACCCAACAAATTCATAGGATTATAGAAAAAAATATGGCCTTCCTTGTATGTTGTATCCTAAGCATTTAACTAAATATCCTTTCACCTTAAGACAAAATATATCTCCTGTCTTTCACTTCGAGGGAATGGTAATCCCAATCGAAACCCAAATTAAATATCTGGGCCTGATCCTAGATAAACGTAGGGCCCTCACTTAAAAGCATCAAGGAAGTCCTATCCGCAAATCAAATCTTTCCCTCAACAATATAATTATTATTTATGAGTCAATGTTAAGACTAATCTGGGCTTAGGGAATACAGATATGGGGCTATACTGAACTATCTCAAACAAAACAATACAAGCATTTCAATCAATTACTCTCTGTTTATTAACTTCTGCACCCTGGTATGTTTCTAACTGCTCAATACACAACGACCTCAAAATTAAAACCAAACAGTTGCATCCAAACACTACAAAAAACTCCACTCCAAGCAAGGCACCCACATCAATTCCCTTATAGCCAATCAAGGAGGAGCAAACCTACCTAACAATCCCTCGCATCGGTTAAAAAGTCATTGGTGCTTTACTAAACCCCTGACCATAATGACGCATGAGGGTTCTGTCAATGGACAGCCTCCTTCCTCATACTAAATCATCTTGTAAATATTTTCTGTCATTATCCTTTTTGCTTATTCTACATAATATGTTAAAGACTACATTTTCTATTTTAAATTAAAAAAAAAATATTTGCTAATTTTATCATTATACTGAAATATGAAAGGAAATAAATTTATTCCACTGAAAATTTAAAAAAGAAATTGAAATGGAATATTTTAAATATTGACGTTATATGAATTGTTTCTATATAATTTTTAGTTAGTATAGGTAGATTTATTAAAACTACAAGAATTGATACTACATATTTTACTTATACAAAGGCTACAAACCAAACCAAATACATTTATTTGACTTAATCTTTAAATTATCTTTAATTTAGCTTATAAATAATTAGTATGTACAAATCCCAAAAATTTGTTAATGTATTTTATTTGAAACTTAAATTTACATATAAATTAAATAAGTATATTAAGACCTCCTCATTGCTAACATAGTATTTATTTCCCATATAATTCTTCGGAGATGATCAATTATTTCTTTTAAATGTCTATTCTTGTTACTTAATTGTTCAGCTACTTCTTTCATTTCATCACTAGCAACACGATACGTTTCACTAGTTTTCCTTTCTTCAGACTTCATGTCCCATTCTTCTTGGAGTGGAATTAGTCCTTCTATATGCATGTACTCCATACCTTGTAATTGACAGCTATCATTACATTTTTCGTAAATAATTCTTAGTCGTTTGAATAGTAATTTTATGTTCCTCAATTGATCTTGCATTTTAATACGCCTTTCATTACTCATGTTAGCACCAGTTGGAGTACCATTCGGTGGCATTAGGACTTTAAGTATCTGGAATACTTCATGTGTGCGAGACACTATTTCCTGTACGGTTTCTTGTCCAAAACGACACAAAGACGCTGTGTTAAATTGATGACCAGAAGCCGACTGATTTTGGTTGGAAGGCGGTACTGGTGGCTGGGACACGGAACCAACACCTACTGGATTCTGGTTAAGAGGAACTTGTGGTACCAATACATTGTGTTGACCGGGAACCTGTGTCTGTATATTAGATTGTAAGCCAGGCCCCACATTAAAGCTTGGTTGACCGACCATGCCAGTCTGAGATGACTGCATATTGATAGTAGATATTATACAACACTTTAGTTTAAATACTTTTAAAACAATTATGTACACAAACAAAGAAGTAAGAAGAAAAATGCTCTAAAATCTGAATGTTTCATAAACAGTGTATTAACAAATAGTAATGTACTTATGCAGTTAGTACTACTTAGCAGCCAGAAGTTACTATTTTATTTTATAGGTAGATATGCCGGTTATGCGTTTTGAGTACGGAACGAGCCACAACGCCCACAACTGACAACTGACAACTCACAAGGCACAAATGACCAATGCATAATCACAGAACAATAATCCTTATCAATTTACCTGATAATCACTTATAAGATATACTTATGGAACTAGAAATTTGTATGATGTGTTCTAGTTCTATAAGTATACACTAAGACGGCGCTAGTAATGCTAAAAGGAAAGTATCCCCCCGAACACCGCCTGTTGTACTACATTTCGTAGTCAACCCCCCACACCCTCCAACCTGGTCATGTACAGTCCTGTATATCCGTGACAGAAAGATATTATACCATTATACATAAGTACATAACGTAGAGACTGACAAATTAATCATGGAGACGACAAAGGCAAAATATACTGCCACAGGTTAACAGGGCCGTATTTGGACAATTTCCGCCCCGGGGCAACATATTTCCGCTGCCCCTCCCCCCCACCCCCACCAAAAAAAAAAACTATTTCTTAAAAAGTAAGGTGTAACTATTTTTTTGTATACAATTTTGGTACAAAGAAAATTGAACCAACTACATAAACATAATAATACATTAATATGCTACTGTCACTTATATAATATTGGCGAATTAAATGTATATACAATATACACTATAATATTAAATACATAAACATATTATGTGCGTAATTTTATTGTAAAATTTATTATGAATAATATTATATTATGAACATTAAACAAAATTCCTTCTATTATAGTTAGGTATTTATTTATATAGGAAAACCAATGTCAATTAAAGAAAATAGTTTTAAGTAAATAATGTATCATTTATTATTTGTATTTGGTATTAATAATTATAATCTAAACAGGTATATAAATAACAATATATAAAAATATATAAAAAAAATGTATAACTTTCTCCTGGACTGAAGGTTTGAGAATAAAATTAAGGTGGGTAAGTGGATGTCGCTCTGCTGTACTGTAGGTCACAAGTGGGGCACTGTATAATGGATGGTATTAAATTTGAATGCAATGATATAATATCATTGTATAAGAAAAACGATTCTGAGCGAAGACGGTATGTCAGTCTAGCTGGTTTAAGTCGTTTAAGACAAATTATATACATATCTATGGTATTAAAAAAAAAATTGACCTATAATAAATTCCAAATTAATCATATCACATTATCACAATATCCATTAGGTACTTATAACCATGAACTACTACACAGGACTGGACACTACAGAGAAAATCACGGACACAAAGTTGTACAGGGTTCGTACACATGCGATGTAACTGCACTCTGCCTGTTAGTAGTACGAACTACGTTTTTTATAGGATAACACTAAAGAATAGTGATATTAGTGATAATAACTGATAATAAATTTACTTTTTAATTTTTGAAAAACAATTATTAATAACACAGTTCAAGATAATAATGATACTATTTATAGAATATTATCAGAAAATAATTACTGCTTAAAGAGTGAACAGTTTAAGCATGAACTACTAAGGCGGTATTTTATATAACAAAATATTTCTTATCTCACAGATGGCGCTGTGTCGCATGTGTACCGAATATGTACAACTTTGTGGACGACCCCCTACTCTCCTCCTGCCAATAGTGTCCAGTCCTGTGTAGTAGTTCATGCTTATAACATGTTATACATCTACATCAATAACAAACCCTGATACTATCATAGATATATAATAGTACACTTTAGAACAGCGGTTCCCAAACTGTGCGCCGCGGCGCCCTGGTGCGCCGCGATGTCTTTTTAGGGGCGCCGCGTTGCCGTAGAAATTTACCTAGTCTAAAAATAAATTTTAACTCGATAACGGCGGCGAGGGTAATGCGACAAAACCGATTACTATAATATCGGTAGACAAAAATAATTTTTTTTCTCCGACTTCACAAAACTGATAAACTGTTTATCGTTATCGGTTCTGACGCATTATCCTCACCACCATTAATGAGTTTAAATTTATTTTTAGACCATAGTCATGACTTTATGAGACGTTTGATAAAATTTGTTTTCGGATTAGTATGACCGCCAGTCTCGCGTAGTGTGTTGCTCTATCGTGTATTCGTGTTCGTCGTTTTTATATAGAAAATTTGTTAATTTTGTGACTTTTTTTAAATCATGGATCGATTTTTATTGAACAGTCATAAACGTTGTGAAGAGGAGGAAAGTATACCCTCAACCAGTAACAGCCCGACTGTAAAAAAACGAAAATATCGGAAGTATGATGACAATTACTTGGAATATGGTTTTACTTCGACAGAAGTGAATGGTGAAGAAAGACCATTATGTGTAATGTGTATGAAAGTTTTAGCACCAGAATGCATGTTGCCAAGTAAATTGAAGCGCCATTTGGAAACGAATCATAAGTATGCGGTTGGAAAATCTCGCGATTATTTTGATAGAAAGAGGAAAGAACTAAAACAGGAAAAAAGTATATTTTTTAAGAATGCATCAATACCAAACAATGCATTGATAGCCTCTTATAATGAGGCAAGCAAATATGCAAGCACATCCATCACATTAATTTTATACCTATCTATTTCGACCTCTAAATATAAATGTAAATCTTCAAAAATAATTAAAATGTGTAAAAAGTATATAACTAAAATTAAATAAATATTCTTGTATTATTATTAAAAAATGGTCTGGTTTTTATTTGTTTTTTATTCATTTTTTATGATTAGTCATGCTATGTCTTGGGAAGGGCGCCTTGAGAAAAGTTTAGTTCAAAAAGGGCGCCGTGAGCGAAAAAAGTTTGGGAACCGCTGCTTTAGAAGTTTCAAGTAGGTACCCACGAATAATATTATATAATCACAACAAAATAACTAGGTTTTTTAATATGTAATTTCGTCAAAATTTGAACATAAAATGACTATAAAAATAAACTGTGATTGTATATTTTTTAGATTTTTCGGTAAGAGAATTAACTACTTACGTGGAATCTTGTTTTAAATTTTCAATCCTTAGCTATAAAAACTGAACATTTAATAATTTATTAATTACGATGATTAATAATTTTCGAGATTTTGAAAAATTCTGTCAAAATTCGAAATAAATGCTTATAAAAAAAAATTGTGCCTATGTATTTTTAATATTTTTCAACTGATATTGTAACAATATATCAGGAGCCTTGTATTAAATTTTTACACTTTTTGGCCCAACAGATAAAACTTAATTGATAATCATAGAAAAAAAGACTAAAAAAATTGAAAAATGAAAATATCCGTAAACAGCTCAAAAAGAGTCAAAATATTTTAAAAATTGTATGGTGTATAGGAAATGCTAATATAAACATTCAGTGAAATTTTCATGTATCTATAGTTATTCCGTATTCGTTTATGAATAACAACAAAATAAGGAAATCGCTACATGAGAAATCGAGTGAACATCCAATGTTGTAAAAATTTGAATTTCAAACGCTCATAAAAATTTAATTTGGCAGGAATACGATTGAGAACGGTCATTATTGGCGATACCTTTCTTAGACCCTTTTGACTATTACGATTGAGAACGCTCAGTTTTTATTTTTCCGCCCAACGTTGCCAAACTTTGCCATATAAAAATCGGCTATGGCTATAGCCTATATAAATATATATGACTCTTAGCACTGCTCACACACTATGTGGCAGGAATAAACGTCTTTAAAACTCAATACTATTCAACAGGGTACTGTTCAAAAGGCATCAAAAGCAGATGAAGAAAAAATTTCAAAAACAATACAGTCTTATATTAACTACTGTCAAAAAAAATCTTCTGAAGGATTAGTAAAATATTTGGCTGTAATACGATTGAGAACGTTCGACCTTTTTTAGCGTACGATTGAGATCACTCGAAATGGAACAATGAAATAACCGCTGACCCAATAAAACAGTACTATTGAGAACGAAATTAAGTGCAACGTTGCCGAACTATATTCAAGTCAAAATAAAAATGAAATAAAACATTGAATAAAATAATTAAAAATTATAAATTTTTAAAATGTCATAATTTTTAAAAAAATTTGTATTATTGGTACATACCAATAATACAAACGTTTAAAAATAATTTACAATTTAATTCCCCTATATAAATTTCCCATATGTGTTAAATATTTTACTAATCCTTCAGAAGATTTTTTTTGACAGTAGTTAATATAAGACTGTATTGTTTTTGAAATTTTTTCTTCATCTGCTTTTGATGCCTTTTGAACAGTACCCTGTTGAATAGTATTGAGTTTTAAAGACGTTTATTCCTGCCACATAGTGTGTGAGCAGTGCTAAGAGTCATATATATTTATATAGGCTATAGCCATAGCCGATTTTTATATGGCAAAGTTTGGCAACGTTGGGCGGAAAAATAAAAACTGAGCGTTCTCAATCGTAATAGTCAAAAGGGTCTAAGAAAGGTATCGCCAATAATGACCGTTCTCAATCGTATTCCTGCCAAATATTTAACACATATGGGAAATTTATATAGGGGAATTAAATTGTAAATTATTTTTAAACGTTTGTATTATTGGTATGTACCAATAATACAAATTTTTTTAAAAATTATGACATTTTAAAAATTTATAATTTTTAATTATTTTATTCAATGTTTTATTTCATTTTTATTTTGACTTGAATATAGTTCGGCAACGTTGCACTTAATTTCGTTCTCAATAGTACTGTTTTATTGGGTCAGCGGTTATTTCATTGTTCCATTTCGAGTGATCTCAATCGTACGCTAAAAAAGGTCGAACGTTCTCAATCGTATTACAGCCTTTAATTTTACTGTCCGGTAGAGATTTTTTTATTGATAAAGGTAGACAAACTTATAAGTAATCTTGTATTACATTTTCAAATCTTAGATTTAAAAAGAAAAATTTTTGCGAATTCTTAACTCAAAATAATTTGCTAATTTTCGTGATTTTCGTGACTTTTGCATTCAACATTTCCTAAGGATGAGTCGACGCCGTAAAAAAACAGTATACTGCTTGTAACAGTTCAAAAAAATGACAGGCTTCTTCACAACAATTTGCTGCACAACTACCAACCAAATTTAGAGAGTGTGCAGCACACGGAGAATACTCAGCTAGTGGATTAACCTCCTTGATTCTTGCCGTTCTTACGTTCAAAAACCCAATCTATTTATAAATAGTATGTTAATAATATAATTTATATTATTTTCCGACAAACTGATGTTAACAATATTATACCTTTTCGATCTATAATGTTTTTAATAGAAGGTTAAAGTTATGTAAATTTATTTATTTTTTCTCAACAGTTAATATACAATAATAATTTATCAACATAAATTTGCCGCCCCCTAAATGGACTAAACAATTTGCCGCCCCGGGCAACAAGGTACACTTGCCCTCCCTCAAATACGGCCCTGCAGATTAAATGAAAATGTTCTAACAAAATTTGCTAATACCATAAAACATTGGTACTACTTTAGTATCCGTGACACCCTTATTTGTAAGTTGTCTCTGTATTCTGTGGTATACACTATACAGGACCTATAAACCATAACAAAATAGATTATATTTATTATATAGATATATTTTGTCATGCTAACAACCATGGCTTTAATATACATTTAAGCTGTTCAATAAACTATTGGACAGAGCTTAAGAGAGAAATCATGGATACGATTAGAGTGAACGAGAAAAGAAACAAAGTAGTAAAATGTATACAGTTCCCTACGCAGGCTCCTTCACTGTTTTTTCTCTCTCAGTTAAATGGTTATAATAATATGATCACCTAAAATTGATGGCAGGGCGGAGTGAGATGCGCTGTTCATTAGTTAAATCTAAACTTATTTTTCAAAAGTTTTGGGGATTTCAAAAACAAATTAAAATAAGTTAATTTTTTTATAATAAAACTACATTACAAACAAGCTCACGTAAAAAAGCATTGTTTCAAAAATTTACCTTTACAGGCTTCGATGTTTAATCTTTATTTAAGTAATAGTATTGTTAAAATAATTAAGTAAAAAATATTAAAATAGAAACAATGAACAAATAGTAATAGTTACCTGTCCGTAGATAATAATTATTATCCAACATGTATATGGTTATAAGTTTTTTCTACGATCTACATAACAGTAATTTAAAATGTTTATCATTATTATTTTGTTTACAACGAGAGTAATTTTTATGCATTTAACATTTCTATAGGGGAGGTAAACGCCTTTACCCACTACCCACCTTAGTGATGCGCCTGCTCTAAACAGTCCACTTTTTAACAAGACATAAATTTGATACTAAGTGAAGCAAGTTATAATTTTGAAATTAAAACCATACTATTTCAATTTTTGCCACAACAATTGTTATATTATATCCTGTACTTCTGTTTAACTTTAAATGTGCAAAATACAACTATGTTAAATGTTACTATAGGTTAGAAGTTTGGAACGTCACACTTGCATGAGTTGATTCCTAAAATTTTAAACTTGCTTCAAAATTAAAAATCAACTAGATGCTCTGGATAATATTCTTAAGATAATAATCATAAATGTGATAATAGGTTCTAATAACTTGGTAAAAAAATGTAACACAGAACTAATGAAAAACTGTTGATGCCTTAAAAATAAATTAAAAAAATATATACAAACAGGGCAAAAATTAAGATTTATTAAGGTATATCTTAATTTGTGGTACAGAGTGTAACAGGAAGACCTTACAAATTAAATAACTTTTGTTCTAATCAATATTTTTGAACTTTATTTTTTATATATAATTTATAGTCACTTGCGCTATATGAATAATATAAAAAAATTGTTTTAATTTTTTAATACTGAAAATAGCTGATTTGTGAATCTGATTAAAAGAAAAATTTTGAAGGTAAAAACATTTATCTAAGTCAAGTAGTTTATTTTTTAGAAATTTTTAAAATATCAATATTAATTATTTCATTAAATAATTTAGAATGTATTCACTCTTTTCAAAATATTATTTTCTGGAATTTCTTGACACTAGTTAAATTCTTAAATTATTTACTAATTATATAATTTTAACAATTTTCGTCATACATTAAGTAAAATAATTTTTCAGGCCTTTCTGACACCTGTTACACTTTGTATCTCCGTGGAAAATCAATATATTTAAATGCAGATTTTTTTTACAGTAATAAGTATGGAAATTCTGATTGAATAGCATAATATTCAATTTTTTTTTTTCAAAAATTCAAATATTATCAAAAAAATATTTTTTAGGTAATTAAGTTATTTTAATTATTTTAAACATTATTGAATTTTGAAAAAAAAACCTATTCAATCAGAATTTTTATACCTATGACTGTAAAAAAAACTGCATTTAAATATATTGATTTTCCACGAAGATACTAAGGGTGATACAGGACTTCTGGGACTTACTGTATATATTATGATTGAAGAATAAAAATGTTTAAGTACTTACCTATTGTTATTAAATAATGATATAAAATTACAAAAATTAATAATTATATTAAATTTATTTAATGCACGACAATACATTATGTTAAAAACAATGTTACATAATTATTGAATATATCAATAATTTTGAAAAATTCCTTGAACATTTGGAAATTTGGAATACTTAGAGCATAATAATTGAGTGTAAAGTGTTTGTTGGTAAGGAGCTTTTATACCATTTTTTGGGGGGACTTTTATTTCTTGGCTTTTTTCCCCTAAATTTGTTAGTAGGTAGGTAATTTAAATAAAAATTGTAATTTGACTTTTAGCTAATGAATGTTCTTAAAATTAAATAAAATAACAGTATTCAATTTGAATCTACTTTTTATATTATATGTTACAACAATGAACGCATTTGCATTGTATATTCCTAGATATATGCAATTAATTGTATCAACTAATAACAAATAGAGAAACTGTTGTCATTAATTTAACTATTGAGAGTCATTATTATTAACAAATTTTGACAAAAAATCATTTGGCTTTGGCTCAACAGTATCTTTAAATAATGTCATTATATGACAGTCCTGAGCCCATTTGGTAACAATTTCTTGCAACAGCATCTGACCCTGCAAATTAAAATTTAAAAAATAGTTATAGATTCAAAGGTGATCTTAAAGTAATAAATAAAAGAGATTAATAGAATAGTGGACTCTTTTAATCTTTAGATGTCCTAAGGTTGTTCTTACAATTTCCGGTTAAGTGTTGGTTAACACTAATAGACTGATATCAGATTTTATTACCAGCAGAATTCAGCCGTTTAAGTGTCCATTAATTTTAACAGGATATTGTAAGAACAACACTAAAAGTAATAAGTTTATAATTAATGTATTAAATTCTACATTATTAATTATATCTATATTTATGAAACATTATAATTTATTCAGGATAATAGTATAATACTAAACTGCTCAGCTGATAAAACTAGTAATATCTAATTATAATATAGTATATTAATGTCAAAAATTATGGTTAACGACAGTGATTTTCAGAAAACCGGAGAGCTCAATAATTTTAAGTTAGAAATTATTAACTAGTTTACTAAATAAGTTGTATCAGCATGAATATAAGAGTGGCCTTCTTATGATTTATTCATTATTTCCATAATTATTTCTTGTATTAAAAAATAATTAGAATTTTAATTAGGTATATCAATATTACAATTGTTTAATCTAATCTCACAAATTATGAAAAATACTATGAAATAATATGTATCAATACTTATATTATGTATACTTAGGATTTTGTGTATATCACTTGGCTTTCGGATAAATAATAGGGCATTAGGCGCTCACAGCTTGGTCATACTGAGGAGAGCCGGAAACACATTTTAATTAGGAATACATTTTTTTGTTTCCATCGTTTAATCATGTCTGTGCAAAATGTTGAGACAGAATTTTATTTTGCCATCTTTTTCATAACACGTTTAGCTTTCTCTGGTTTTATTAAGTCAGTATTAACTTCATAATTGAGAAAGGTTAATATATAATATACCTTATTATGACTATTGGTGTGTGTGTGTTCTGTTTGAACACCGATGAAAATCGGTGACATTTTGTGTTTTTGTAATTATTACTTAATAAACTCAAAGAATGCTTTGTTATGATTTGTCAAATAGAACACGCGTTAAAGCAGCAAATGGCTCGTCGGCGTGGTGCTTTCATGCCCGTGAATAATGCTGCATTGTAACTAATTACAAAATCACGCAACGTGAAAATAACGCTTTCTGTTTGACAGAGCCTTTAAAGTCATACATTTTGGCACAAAATGAGATTTAATTATTCAATGAAAGCAACAAATGTATTCCTCCCAAACATGTTTATGTCTGAGGCTCTGGACAATATGATCTGGCGATGAACTCCAGGTGCCCTATTATATATCTCAGCATAGTGATATACCTAGTCATAAAAATATTTATACATTCTTACATACCTTAATAACTAACATATCAATGACTCTAACATCAGTAATGTGTTTATTTTTTAAGAATTCTTCTTTCAACTTAATTTGACATTCTTCTTTTGAAACGGGTAAATGGCGATCAAACACTAAAATAATACATTTACTTTGTATAAAAATGTTTGAAATATATTTCAAATTGTTTACTTACACATCAAAGGAATTTGCCTGTAATATGTTTTATATAAATTTAAAACTCTTTTTTTAGCTTCTGATTTATCAGATGATAATAATGGTCGAACTATTTTCGTTGCACATTTAGAGGCTTCTCGAGCAGCCATTTTAAAAAAAAAATATATTTACGAATATCGACAATCGTATTAATCGTAATGAATTTGTCTGTAAAATATAATTATATTTATTAAATATTGCAAACAGTGAAGTAGATACAAGGTACGTCGTAAGTATAATTGTAGTACTAATAAATGATGTATAAAATGTCTAAGCTCTAAAATACATTTTTATGATTTATGTTTTATCAAACATCAGTAACTGTAACCCATAGAGTAATTACTCTATGCTGTAACCTTTCGAGTTTTGATAAAAACTTAGATTATCAATCATATGTTAAGAACAGATTTAAAAGCATATAGACCTATAAACTAAACAAGCCTACAAATGCCATAGATCCGGTGGTAAGTATTACTGTTGCGGAGCCACTGTTCATGTATTTATTCGATATCTACGTCGGTGATAAGATAACATTCAAATAATTACCGCGTGAATTTAAATATTATAATCATTATTATTAATATAAGTAAATAATAAAATTGAGTATTGTAATTTTTATATCCTAAATCTAAATTATTATACTTATAACAAAAAAAAAAAAAATACAATAATGAAAATTCTAACACGTCCTACAAAAAAAAAAAAAAATAATAATAATAATTTATTAAACTTTATCTATATACATTGTCCATGTATAGGAATTCCCGCGTTGTATATAATTGTATCTTTAATAGTTTAATATCAATGATCTTTATTACAATCAAGTGTCACTTCGAATATGGGTCGTATTATTATTACCACCATATATCGAAATACACAATTTGTATTACTGTTAATACTGTAGTCTTTAGTATCTGAACATTAATGCTACAGGTATTTATTTTGTTGCTAGTGTATAAATGTCATAACATTATTAAAAGTATAAGTAATATACGTATAGTATTAATTATTTTGTATAATATGTCTTTTGTGGTGCCAAAAAACAAGGCAAATAAATAAAACTAAATTTTCTTAATTTTAGGATTTTTTAGCAATAGCATTAAAGATAAATTTGAATTATTAATTATTATGAATTATGTTCGGGTAATGAACTGTAAAAAAAAAGTAACAAAAAATATTGAATTAAAATTAATTATATTAATTTTATGTTGTATTATATTTTTGTAGGACGTATTAGATAAAGTTTAATAAATTATTATTTTTTTTTTTTTCGTAGGACATGTTAGAATTATCATTCTTACATTTTAGATTCTGAGTGAAACGATGAATGTATTGATTTTACAATGATGTGTGTTTTTATATTTTAGATTCTGAGTGAAACGATGAATGTATTGATTTTACAATGATGTGTGTTTTTTTTTTATTTTTTTTTATTTTTTTTTTTATTTTTTTTTTATTTTTTTATTTTTTATTTTTATATTTATTTTTTTTGTGTCTGTGTACACGATAAGTAGTCGAAATAATGCTTCGATTTTCGACTTCAGTATCTTGTTCGATTGGAAAGTGAATATCGTTGGTGCATTGGGGAGGTCAAAATTTAAATTTCCCAGTAGTTTTCAAGAGCGCCGGGAAAAACAAAAGAAAAATTAAGGAAAAACGGGAATTTTTACGCAAAATCGATTTTTCAGAAAATTGAATTTGGTTTTTGGTGTAACTTTAAAACAAATGACCGTAGGTACATGCAATTTTCACTGGTTGTTTATATTTGCATCTTCTATACACGATAACATTTTCAAAATATTTTGATTTATTTTGAACAGTTTAGGGACATTTTCATTTTTAGTTTTTTTTTAGTTTTTTTTCTAGAAATATCAATTAAATTTTATTTGTTGGTTGCGAAAGCTTGAAAATTTAATAGAAGGCTCCTAATATATTGTTTCAAGGGCAGATGAAAAATATTAAAAATCCTTAGTCACAATTTTTTTTTATAAGCATTTAAAGTTCAAAAATTGACAAAATATGGAAAAATCACGAAAATTAGCAAATTATTTTGAGTTAAGAATTCGTAAAAATTTTTCTTTTTAAATCTAAGATTTGAAAATCTAATACAAGATTACTCATAAGATTGTCTACCTTTATCAATAAAAAAATCTCTACCGGAAAGTCAAATTAAATTTTTATGAGCGTTTGAAATTCAAATTTTTACAACATTGGATATTCACTCGATTTCTCATGTGGCAATTTCCTTTTTTTGTTGTAATTAAAAAACGAATTACTGTAGATACATGAAAATTTCACTGAATGTTTATATTAGCATTTCCTATACACCATACAATTTTGAAAATATTTTGACTCTTTTTGAGCCGTTTACGGACATTTTCAGTTTTCAATTTTTTTAGTTTTTTTTTTCTATAAATATTAATTAAGTTTTATCTGTAGGGCCAAAAAGTGTAAAAATTTAATACAAGGCTCCTGATATATTGTTACAATATCAGTTGAAAAATATTAAAAATACATAGGCACAATTTTTTTTTATAAGCATTTTAACATCGAATTTTGACAGAATTTTTCAAAATCTCGAAAATTATTAATCATCGTAATTAATAAATTATAAAATGTTCAGTTTTTATAGCTAAGGATTGAAAATTTAAAACAAGATTCCACGTAAGTAGTTAATTCTCTTATCGAAAAATCTAAAAAATATACAATCACAGTTTATTTTTATAGTCATTTTATGTTCAAATTTTGACGAAATTACATATTAAAAAACCTAGTTATTTTGTTGTGATTATATAATATTATTCGTGGGTACCTACTTGAAACTTCTAAAGTGTACTATTATATATATATGATAGTATCAGGGTTTGTTGTTGGTGTATAACGTGTTATTAGTACCTAATGGATATTGTGATAATGTGATATGATTAATTTGGAATTTATTATAGGTCAATTTTTTTTTAATACCATAGATATGTATATAATTTGTCTTAACCTAGACTGACATACCGTCTTCGCTCAGAATCGTTTTTCTTATACAATGATATTGTATCATTGAATTCAAATTTAATAGCATCAATTATACAGTGACCCACTTGTAACCTACTGTACAGCAGAGCGACATCCACTTTTTTTATTTATTTTTATGTCTGTGTACACGATAAGTAGTAGAAATAATGCTCCGATTTTCGACTTCAGTATCTTGTTCGATTGGAAAGTGAATATCGTTGGTGCATTGGGGAGGTCAAAATTTAAAATTACCAGTAGTTTTCACAAGCGCCAAGAAAAACAAAAGAAAAATTAAGGAAAAACGGGAATTTTTACGCAAAATCGATTTTTCAGAAAATTGAATTTGGTTTTTGGTGTAACTTTAAAACAAATGACCGTAGATACATGACATTTTCACTGGTTGTTTATATTTGCATTTTCTATACACGATAACATTTTCAAAATATTTTGATTTATTTTGAACTGTTTAGGGACATTTTCATTTTTCATTTTTTTTAGTTTTTTTTCTAGAAATATCAATACAATTTTATTTGTTGGTTAAAAAAACTTGAAAATTTAATAGAAGGCTCCTAGTATATTGTTTCAAAGGCAGATGAAAAATATTAAAAATCGTTAGTCACAGTTTTTTTTTATAAGCATTTAAAGTTCAAAAATTGACAAAATATGGAAAAATCACGAAAATTAGCAAATTATTTTGAGTTAAGAATTCGTATAAATTTTTTTTTTTAAATCTAAGATTTGAAAATGTAATACAAGATTACTCATAAGTTTGTCTACCTTTATCAATAAAAAAATCTCTACCGGACAGTCAAATTAAATTTTTATGAGCGTTTGAAATTCAAATTTTATAACATTGGATGTTCACTCGATTTCTCATGTAGCGATTTCCTTATTTGGTGTTATTCATAACTATAGATACATGAAAATTTCACTGAATGTTTATATTAGCATTTCCTATACACCCTACAATTTTGAAAATATTTTGACTCTTTTTGAGCTGTTTACGGATATTTTCATTTATTCAATTTTTTTAGTTTTTTTTTCTATGAATATCAATAAAGTTTTATCTGTTGGGCCAAAAAGTGTAAAAATTTAATACAAGGCTCCTGGTATATTGTTACAATATCAGTTGAAAAATATTAAAAATACATAAGCACAATTTTTTTTTATAAGCATTTATACATCGAATTTTGACAGAATTTTTCAAAATCTCGAAAATTATTAATCATTGTAATTAATAAATTATAAAATGTTCAGTTTTTATAGCTAAGGGTTGAAAATTTAAAACAAAGGTTCTCATAAATAGTTCATACTGTAACCAAAAAATCTAAAAAATATATGAACACAGTTATTTTTTACAGACATTTTAAATTCAAATTTGGTCGAAATTACATATTAAAATCAATATTAACGATCTTTGTTATTGTTGCAATTTAAAAATATTATTCGGGGATATATGAAACTGAAAAATCAAAATATTATGGCCTATCTATACAATCTACCATAGTATAAGGAATAAGAAGTATGCTCATGATAAGACTGTGCATATTTTAAGGAATTTATTCATAAATTCCATATAATTTAATACCATATATATATATATATATAATATGTCTTAAACCTAGACTGACATACCGTTACCGTCACCGCTCAGAATCGTTTTTCTTATACAATGATATTATATCATTGAATTCAAATTTAATACCATCCATTATACAGTGACCCACTTGTACAGCAGAGCGACATCCACTTACCCACCTTTTTTGTTATAAGTATAATAATTTAGATTTGGATATAAAAATTACAATACTCAATTTTATTATTTACTTGTATTAATAATAATGATTATAATATTTAAATTCACGCGATAATTATTTAAATGTTATCTTATCACACACGTAGATATCGAATTAATGCATGAACAACAGTCGTGGCTCCGCAACAGTAATACTTGCCACCGAAACTATGGCATTTGTCAAGGTTTATAGATTATAGATAATTATAGATAATCTATAAACCTTGGGCATTTGTAGGCTCGTATAAACTAATGGACCGCGCCTTCCTCACCACCCAACCAACAATGAGTGGCGCCAATATAGAGTGA